GGCTGCTCAGTAGATCTATGTACGTCCGTCACACTCACTGGTCACTATATGTATGTACGTCCGTCACACTCACTGGTCACTATATGTATGTACGTCCGTCACACTCACTGGTCACTATATGTATGTATGTACGTCCGTCACATGCGGACGCCGACGCCGACATTTATTTCATATGACCCTAGACTTTCAGTCAAGGGAATAAAATAAAACTGAACCACAGTAGAACTACATATGTTTTTTCATGTTTAATTTAAGTAAAAAACGTAAATATTTATCACATAAAAACTTTATGATAATCCATAGCAAAAGTTAAGAGGCTGAGAAGTAACCGGTGTTTGTATACGGATCAATAGGAGAATTCTTTCCCACGACTGTCAAAAGACTTTTATTGCCATTCTCTCTTAAAAGACTATGCTTCTCCCTTGAAAAGCACTTAAAGGATCAGCGTTTGCGATAGAAATTTTGGTGGGGGCTGAATAACTAAAGTGTTTTCTTGAGTAATGCATTTTTTGACTACACTTTTTTTCTGAGTAACTGCATGTTTTAAGCTTATTCACAGTACCCAAAAATCACTTACTCAGATGCATAAAAGGCAGTTTCTCAACATTTCTGAGTAAGTCAAAATTGTATTGGAGAACATTCGACGCTAGCTCAGAATCATTATGAGAAAAACTTCTTTCTTTACCAATAAAACTTCCGATTCTGGCATTTAACAGCCCGACCGTCTGGTCTTAGGTGTTCTTAACTACCTTGAACGTTCTTTTCCAAAGTCAATGACCTGTCCTAACTCTCTACCACTTTTTGTATTTATTATATGAGAAGAGAGGTCTACTATCATCATGTGGTAAATTCATCAATGAACAACTAATCTAATTCACAAAGAGAATTTGCAGAATTTTGAAAAATGTTCAAGATTTTTATCAGAATTTTGCCAAGTGAACCAAAATCTTGTGAAATATAACAGAATTGGTTCGAGGTTTCTTTTTGGGCATTATCTGGGATGTATTAGGATACGGTCGGTAGAGCTGAGCTTTTATGCGACTTTTTTTTCAGATTTCAGTGTGCTTTGATCTTTTTGTCGCTCAGCTGACGCAATTAGACCGAAAGCTGTGTATACTACGACGTGGTCTTGATACTTCTTGCTTCTTTTTCTTATATCCACGCACACTCATCTTCCTAATCTCACACTTCCACCGCACATCTTTCAAACGGCATACTTACTGAAAAACATTTAAAAACCTTTATTATAGCACAAGAACAAAACTTTTCATGTTTCCCAACTTACAACGCAGATTTTATTTTCAGGTTCAACTAGAGAATGAGCTCGAAATAAGTAAGTATAAAGGACTTTCTCTTTCAATTGCTGTATACTTACTTAGAAGGTATCATGTAACTTATTCAATTTTTCGTACCACTTTTATATAGACACGTGTGTTTTATGCAAATAAGACTTATATATATACTGGATACAATTCTTTTCTTTTTCTTGTTTTATATACTCTATATATCTAAAGTAATCGAAATAAGACAATAGAGAACTAGTACATAAGAGAACAGAACTGCGACAAATAGCGATTTTCTTTTCTTTTCTATTTTGTTTTCTTATTCACGTTATACATAGTGTGTGTTCACATTACAATGTGCGTTAAATATATATACCATATATATTAAGACTGTTGTCGGTGATGTCACGCTTTCTTCGTCCTTTTCCTTCATATCAGTCGAAGAGTACAGCACAGCATATATATATATGGAACAGATACGAAGAAAGCGTGGCGTGACATCACAGACAACAGTCTGAATATATATATATATATATTTAACGCACATCGTAATGTGAACACACACTATGTATAACGTGAATAAGAAAACAAACTAGAAAAGAAAATCGCTATTTGTCGCAGTTCTAATATCCCTTTTTCGCATAGCATATCACCGATAAAAAAAAATTAAAGTTTGTCTAGAGTTAAAGAAAAGTGCTTTTTCGTATTCAGCACACTTGATAACCTCGAAAACTTTCTATTTTTAGGGAGGGGTACCGCCAAAAAGTTAAGAAAAATTTTCAAAATTGTATAATTTTGCCATGGAGATTTTTCTGTGTCAATTTGTTTGAAAATTTTTCTTAACTTTTTGGCGGTACCCCTCCCTAAAAATAGAAAATTTTCCAGGTTACCAAGTGTGCTGAATACGAAAAAGCATTTTTCTTTAACTCTAAATGAACTTTAATTTTGTACAATATCTTTCTGTTTTCGTTCTTTTCTATCGATGCGCGCTAAGACGAAAAAATGTCCGCGCATGGGATATCTTGTGTAGAAAGAAGTGTCTCCTTTAGAGATGAGATGAAAGTGTTTCGATAGTCTTTTTCGTTCCATTCTGAAAGTGACGCGTTATTATAGGTTTGTTATTCTCTATCGTCTATCGTATATATTTCCTTACGGAAAGGCGATTATCGTTTATATGGTTTGTATTTTTCTCTAATGCATAGGCGATAGTCGTTTATTCATACGATAGCCACTTATTCTTAGCTAGTAGAAGAAGAAGAGAAAGAAAATAAGTTTCATCAATAAACAGCAAACCACAGTAGAAGAGTAAACCATTGTTATGAACTGACATTGACTATTCATCAATTGTAGAGTTTAAGACACAGAAATACTGTTTGGCACATACAAACATGCAAAATAATAAAATTCTCAACAAACAGATCACTGACTTTTACACATAAGGAAATCTGTTCAAAATTTGTCTCAAGTGAAACAGTTTAATTTATGTTTTTTTTATTCGAGAATTTCTGGTTAAGAAAATGATATCGTTAGCCGATTCTGATGACAAACGTGATCTTCGATCACTTGTAATGAAGCCGCTCAACGAAAAAATTCTTTCTAATGGTGTACTCGTCGCGCGTATGCACAAATATTTTCGAGCTATTTTGGCTATCGTAGGATATCGATGCTTATTTTGATTGCACCAAATTAGAGCACATGTATTCGTAGTAATTTCTGGCTCACTCAGATAGTTTGTATATTCACTTGATGCAGTTGTTTGTTGTCTCGTGACTATTTTATCGAGAACGGAAAGCGGTCGAGGTGGAAGACATAGTGGAACAACTGCTGTTGTTGACGATGTACCTAGAATGGTTGTTGAAATGGTCTGATATTCATCTTTCAATAGCTGTTCGGCTATTTTTCGTGCTCCAACCGATTTCCAATCTGTGAGAGTCGACGCTGTAATTCCATTTGTTGAAAAATTATTGGGATCAGTGAATGTAAAATGTTTAAATCGTGAATCAACAATACAGGTCAACAAATAAAATTTGTTCGAGAATGATTTGTTGAACCATTTTTCTAACTGAGTTTTCATAAATGTTTTCATTTTATCAAGGACCGATGAATCCGGTTCTAATAAAGTCAAAATGGCGACTAAAACTGGCAAAACCAACGAGAGGGTTGCCGTTGTAGCTGATGATACTTCACGTGTAACATCTTCAAGAGGTTCTAACAGTTTTAATAATAATTTCAATACTTGAAAATCAATTCCTATTGTAGAAAAAAACCCACTGTACAATCCATTCTCTCTTTAAAAATAATTATGTGTTGGTATCATGTACGAGGGTTCAACCTCATTCGTCAAGTCTTTCAGCGCTTCACTTCTTTCAACGAAACTAATGGGTAATAAATCTCGAATAATAAAGTTCGATAATATTCGAGTCAGTTGCAACGAACGTTCACTATTCAATGGTAATAAACTGCGGTCTCTTCGTGCACGTTTCCTGTGGTTATTTTTCACAAGCGAATATTCAGGTAGATGAGCGACAGATAGATGAAATAGCATTCATGTTGTTGAATTTGAATTATTATCCATTGAACGCTGACAGAGCACACGTTCCACTCCACCTCCATTTTTCCCGGTAAAATAATTCCATACAAGACTCGTTTTTTTTCTTATACGTTTGGGAGGGGTAGGAGTTTGTGGAGAACTCCAATATATTGAAATTCTTTGACTTTTTTACGTTTCTTATAAAACTAAGTATATTTAAGGCGCCGCTAATTCAAAGAGTGAGTAAGATTTTATTTTCGAGTTTATTACACATATTCGGATAGAGAATTTCATGGTGATTCCGAATATCGCCTTTTTAGCTTGATTTAAGCAAGTTTTGAGGGAGAAAACTTCGAAATACTGGGAAGGACCAGAAAACCTAAAAAACCGCTAATTTTCAAAAATTTCGCTCTACTTTTTTTCCTTCGTATTAAAACTCTTTGAAACTATTTTTTCCGAACTTCTCATCAAAAAATGAGTCTAAAAAACTGTCTTTCGAAAACTTTGATCGAGATTTGAAGTTTTACAAAATTTAAAAACTCAGGTCGCTCCAGGCTCGACCCCTTCATCTTGTAAAGAACATGGAGCCTTACAGGTGAGAGATAAATTTATTTTTGCGCCAAAAGAAGCGCCTTGCAATTTAGAACAAAGTTATATGTGTACATTTTTGATTTTTTCCCCTAGCGAGGAGAAAAAAAATAAATATGGAAAAAAAGGCGTTTAAACCCAAAATCGGCCAAGTGATTCTTTCATAACATACACTATTTTCATTCAAATTGAGTCAAATTACTCCACAATAGGTAAAAAATGATGATAAAGACGATGCAACTAATAGCGCATCACGAAAAGGTCTCTGGAGGGTCTTCAGAGGATCTCCAGAAGCTCTCCAGGAGGTTTTCTGCAGAGTGCCCAAATGAATGCAAAGTTACTCGACAATAACTCCACGTCATCTATAAGAACCGTAAGAGGAGGTTTCGGCGCCGCACCTGATTGGACGAAACCAAAACGAATTCCGAAGTCAAGGTGAATGATTCACTGCTAAGAGAACACCTCTCCTATCTGTTAAATTGATTTCGCTGGTTAAACTTGATAAAAAAGTGTTAATTAAAAATGCCTAAGGCAAAACGACGTGCTTATTCTGCTGCATTTGGCTTTCAAAAACGTTCAAGTTCATATTTATTTGAAGAACCACCCAAGTCTTCCAGCGAAGATGAATTTATTCCGTATCAAGAACAACGTAAAGACATTGAGTTCAGCTCGGAGGAAATTTTAACGAAGGTAAATGAAATAATGGACTTTTGTAAGCAAACCTGTAGTACAAAATGCCTGAGTTTTCTCCCTCAAAACTTGCTTAAATCAAGCTAAAAAGGCGATATTCGGAATCACCATGAAATTCTCTATCCGAATATGTGTAACAAACTCGAAAATAAAATCTTACTCACTCTTTGAATTAGCGGCGCCTTAATATAATTGAAAAATATTTTTGTAAAATCATTTTACACAAGAAGCGAGCTTTCGATACTTCACAGTATCATCATCAGGCTAATATGACTGTGAATTTAGAAATGAAGACGGTGGAGAAGTCCATGAAGACGATGGAGAAAACGAATTTGAAATAGGAGAAGCCATCTAAGATTCTTACAAATCTAATACTTCATTGAAATATTACTTTTTGAAAGTAAAGTAAAGTGTTACATGCAGTTTATGTATTCTCTTTCGAAAATGTATTTCACTTACTCCAGCATCATCTTTTTTTCTGTATAGATTTGTTTAACAGACAGTTTCTTCTTACATTATTAGGTTGATAACGTAAACCGTGCCGTTTTTTGTTCTTTTCTATATTTTAGATAATTAATTGAGAAATGCCAGTTTTTAGCTTTCTTTGATAACAATCGGTGCCTGTAGCTTTCTGCTAGTTTGTTCTCTCTCACTTTTTTATTATAATAACGTTCTTTATTGACTTGTCTTTCTAACTCTTTGTTCATTTGTAGTCTTGTCACTTCAGCTTCAACTTAAACATTTACATGACTTTTACTCAGATGAGATCGTATCATACCCGAACGTATCTTTAGTATAATTAATCAAGAGGACTGTCGCCAGTATTGGCCGAGGTTCGAAGAGTCCAAACACCACCTCTGTTTGGCAAAAGTCAAGTAGACTCCCACCAACTTCGGCGAAGTTCCTGTGGAAGTTCGTCAATATTGGCGAGAGTCCACAGAACCGACAATTGGCAAGAGTTTACTTGGCTTTCGCTAATACACCACCAGGACATTTTGAACAAACACTACTGATGTAATACACTCAGAAGATCATTTGTGCAAACTTTCGACTGACTTAGAAAAAAAATGAGAGATTCATTGCACTGACATCCCTTTATTTTAGTATAAACACTATGAAGAATTCGTTTTGGCATTCCTTGTGAGAACTTTCGCAAATGTTTTCGTTTGAGGTCCTATATTTACTGGATTCGGGAAGCGTTTAGAGGCTTCAGTTACAGCAAATCTATAGAAAAAAATGCAAGGGAGAAATTGCGGACTTTATAGACTTGAGCGGACTTTAAAGTACTCTCAGGTCTTATAAAGTCCGCGGACTTGAACGGACCTTGAGGACTTTAAAGTCCGGTAAAGTTCGATAAAGTCTCCGCAAGTCCCGTCAAGTTCTCCTAAGTCCGCTCTGATCTCTTAAAGTTCCGAAAGTCCGCCGACTTGAGCGGACTTTGGCGACCTTAAAGTCCTCCGAGTCCGCTCAAGTCTAAAGTCCGCAATTTCCCCCTTGAAAAAATGTGTAAGGTAGTTCTGAGAAATTGCACTTCCACCGTTCCACAATATACGCTATTTATTCAATCTAAATGTTTTATGGTGTTGTATAGTCTCAATATTGAAGTTTAGTATTCCATAGTTGAATACGGACAATCTCATCTTCGTTTTTTCGATAATTGTCTGCGCCTTTGTCACTGTGCTGCGCTCTCGAGTACACGTCCGCTTCGTGATGGACGCCGACACTATTGTTCAGCCCTTTGGGACGACTTTGTTTTAGGACAGATGCGATGCAGTGTTGAAAAGCATGTCCGTACTAATGCTTTTGATGGCACACTATAGAACAGCCCTCCACTTCTCTGAATAAAACCTCGATTACCCTTGTGTGAGGGTTCCCGCGATTTCTCATGGAGGATAAGCAATTATATACCTCCCAACGTACTTACCAAGGAGGTTCATGATATTTTCATAGATATGTGTTTTTGACTAACAAGCGTTATTTCTATTATATATCTTAGAGAAAATCTCGGTTCAAAACCCTTTTGTAACAAATGACTTTTTCATGAGTTGTTCGGGATGTCACTGGGCAAAGGTTTAATTCTTTTTGCGCCTTCTGCAATTTTTGTACAAACCTAAATTGATATTCGTATTTTCCTACTATAACTTGTTTGTCTATCTTTGTCTATCCACCTCGACTGTAGTGACGTATTGGTAATGAAAATTGCCATCCTTATAAAACGCTTACTATGCAAAAATTTGTTTTGAAGTTGTTAGTGGAAGGATAGTTCGATAAGATCTCTTAGCTAGTCGAATGGAAATCAGAAATAGTTAATATTTAAGACAGATTTTTACAGGTCATACTAGGATTACTAAATCATCATTAATTCAAGATCGAAGCAGTTTTTAAGTCGTAACGACATGCCATTGTGTGTTTCCTAAAACTTTCAAAATAACTGCTTTTAAAGTGAGTAGGCATGCACCAATTTTCTAGTTATTTTAATTCCAGTTTTAATTTTTGGAATTGCAATTGATTGCTCAAAATACAAATACAAGGTGTGCTCAACATTCCGCAACAAGTCTACTAACCCGTCTGAGACTTTTGATATACACTGTTCGGTTTGCATCAGTGTGTGTTTGAATTTTGAGCAACCAGTTCCAATTCCAGTCATGCCTAAAAGTGAATGTTTTATAACGATATGCCATCAAAAGCATTACTGTGGTATGGTAGCAGTTTTCAACGAGAAACCAGTATGGTTCTTTTCGCTTTTTTAAGGCAATTTTTCGAAGAAAATTAGGTTTTTTGATATTTTGAAAACGTTTATTACTCGTTCACTGAGCTTTGTTAGGACTAGAGAACAATAGTTATACGTAAAAGATGTTTTCTGGCAAATTGTTCACTATGGAGGCGGGGAGAGGGGGCACTGTACTGTCAGTCATAAACTTAAACTCATTGTTGCTAATATAATGTATTAAGTTGGAGTTTTAACGTGGAGATACTAAATAGCAAGTAAAAACGCAGTAGGCTGATCTTGAAATTGCAAATTTCGTAAGCTTGTAGAACATATATACAGCTAATCTTTATTCGGTTGGCTGTGAATCTAGGGTTAGATATAAAACGTCTATGTGTCTCTGTACACTAGAGAAAAAGAGGAAAAATACCCCGCCTTGCCGCTACCGTTGTCAGTGTAGGGTGCTGCCATTTACAGCAATTTTAACGCTCAAAATTAATTTGAATTAATTTAAAGGATAAGAATGTTTCAAACCCATTTGAAATAAATTAACTTAAACTATTTTTCCACTATCAAATTTATCTAAATTCAATAAAATCTTTCCTTTATCCGCCAAATGTGTATACACCTATAAACCTTTTTTTTACAGGCAAACATTTAGTAATTGCAGATGACAGACATGATCTGTTACCGGAAAATGATGATGAATTGAAGCAGTATGATACATATGAAATTCACAGAATGATTGATAGTAATAGCACTAGAAACGATTTAGGTATGTGAGCAAAAGTTTTATTGAAAATAGAGGAATGCAGTTCTTGTTGATTTCCTTTGCTTTTAGAACGTCAAATTTTATTTACAAAGTGGTTTAAATTACTAACAAATGTTACAAAATTTCAGATCGGTCTCGTACATTAAATCATTTATTGTTATCAGTATCAATGACAAATGATAAACCAGATTTTCTTCGGAAGATTCAACAATTAACTATTCGTTGTACACATGATAATTATCTTGTAACAAATCTACATAAAATATATTTTGAAAATGTACAGCGATTTGTACTAATAAATTACAAAGCGGAAATAATTGATGAAGATATATTTAAACTAGTGATTGCGATAATTGAAAACTTTTCACAATTAAGATGCATGGTTATTATATATGAAAATAGAGAATGCAATATTACGGTGGATAAGGATAAAATTGAAAAATTAATCATCGAAAAATGTATGATGTTAAGCAAGAAACGTATTATTCACTATGTCGCAATAAACAATCGTCGTTTAGAATGTTGTATTGATTGAAAGCTGAATAGTATTTTTAAACATTGTAAACTCATTAGCATTCTTTTATCAGTAAACATTTCACATAAATAATCCCTAATCAACTTTTTGTACTTTTTTCAAGTGTTGTATATTAGTTCCCTTGATGTTAATCAGGAGGAGATCTCCAGAAGCCTTTTGAAAGTTTCACCTCCTTTTGATATGTGAGTAGAATTTGATTGAGAGACTATTATAACGAACACTTTTCGGCATATCGCTGAAGAAATTGCTCAATCGACCGTTAAAGGATTATTTAAAGTTTTCCTTTACAGCGAAACAGTTGTCATGTGTGAGACCATTGAAATTAAGGTTAATTAAAACTCCGGTCTTAAATAGATAACGTCTATGCAGATTTAAATGTCAGAGGCGTACTGTACCAGTGATTCATCTAATTTCTCATGACTATTTTATTTCAAAACTTTTTCTGTCGGCGGAAGCTAAAACAAGAAGTTTGTACGGCAGCGGCGAAGTGCCTCAAAAAATTTTGACGTCAGCGGCGACGCAGATCTTCACAAAGCTTTGAGACCTTCGGCGGCGGCGACGCCAAAAATCTCAATTATTCATCGACGGCCGCGGCATCAAACCTGCGCCCGATCCCATCCCGTAGGCATAATTACAATCCCGTTAAATCCCGAAATTTTTTTTCCCTCGAATACATGAACTCAACCACAACTATTGATGAAGACGGAGGGAAAGATGTTTTAGACTGTTGGAGAACACATCAACAAGCATATCCAATGATATCATCTATTGCTCGAGAAATTCTCGCTATTCCTGCATCAAATACAGGAGTAGAACGACTGTTCTCGTCTACCAAAAACACTGTCTCCAATCGTCGTACCAGTTTAGGTGCAGAAAAAATTAATAAACTAATGTTTCTCCAAAAGAATTTGTAGACATTGAGGAAATAGAGAAAAACGAGACAGTTGAATCAACCGTCTTGTCAAGTATCAACTGTGTTGATACACCTGCGTCAAAACGAAAACCACTAGATGAAAATGAACAGCTGTTTGTAACAATAAAAAAACCTAAAATTCAAATTGAAAGTCATGATATAGATGACGATTGAATTGAAAAGAAAATTAGGCTTTCCCCGTCTGTCTTTCTCTCTGTACATCAGTGTTTAGGCTGTTGAACATACATTTTCTTTTTGATTTTCACACTGATATGTAGGCTTTTAAAGAGATATTGCTTTTATTGATGTTGTACAACGATGTATAAGCAAGCAAACTGATATTTTGTTGTTTACTTTATTTTTGTGATAAAGAATATAGTTCCAATAAATTGGAAAAAGAAAATCCCGATCCCGAACCCGTTCGTAAGCTTGACCCCGATCCCGTCCAGTAAGTTTGATTCCGGTCCCGATCCCGCAGGGCTCTAGTCGTAGGCCTAGTTGTTACACATGAGAGTGGAACTAGAAATTATTCTATCTAAAAGAAACCCATTGGAGTATTTGTTATGAATGAGAAAGTGGTGATTTTAATTGACTTTGACATTGAGCTAAATTGATTTATACAAAATTCATCAAAAACTAAACGTTTATCAAAATGTTTTTTTTGATGAAAAAGACTTTGTTTGATAAAAAGATAAAGGACGTGATTAAAAAAGAGTTGTGACAAAAAAGATTATTTAACAAATTCAAATAACAAAATAAAAATAAAATCATGACTTTTTTCTCATTGACGTCAATTCATTATTGACGAGGAAATTTAACACTTTATTATATTGTGAACACGTTCGATGATTAATGTGGATTTTTCGCATTTCTCTTTATTACGTTCTTTTTCATTGAAATCAAAAGAGTTTTTGAGAAAATTAAAACTGAAGAAAATCTCTTCATTTCAAATTCATATTTCATTTTTTGTTTTTGAAACGAATGAAAATCAAATGATCAATCTTCTTCATTATTCAAATAGAATATCAATTCTTTCTTAAAAACACTTTTTCTCCCTTTGTGTTCTCTCGGAAGAAATGAATGAGAGAAAAAACAACAGAGAAAACGAGACATATAAATGAAGAGAAAATCCATCATAAATCTCATCTGATTTTTATCAAAAAAAGAAGATTCACTTTGAAATATCAAACAGTGATACTTTTCATATCAATTATTCTGATTAGTCGAAGAAATCTTTTCGGATATGTGGGATATTCATCTATTCGTTCTTATTCTTCCTATTCCGATCAATAAAATATCAGCAGATAAACACTTTGATTTTTCACACATTAAAGATCATCATTTGGAGAAGAAAAACGAAAGAATTCTTTCAAAGTTAAGTTGATTGTTGTTATTAGGCCTGCGACAGCTCACCGGGCAATGAATCGAAAGAGCTAGACTCGAAGTTATGCTGACCAGCTCCTTTTTTGTGGGCTGCGTCCAATGACCAGCTCTTTTTTTTGAGCTGGATGCATTAATCAGCTCTTTTTCGTGAGCTGGGTCCGCCAAGGGCTATCCTATGAGGGTATCCATAGATCCTCAACTGCTATCCTATGGGGTAGGGTGTACAACTCACGCTCATAAGCGCTCATAAGAGCGTGAGGGTGAATGATCATAGCGCTCCCGCTCGTGAGCATTAGCGCGAGTTGTACATCCCTACTATGGGGGTATCCATCGATCCTCGAGAGTTATCCTATGGGAGTACCCATGGTCTGTAGTGCCGGGCTCGATACTTTCCAAGTAACTTTTGTAGAAATGAAAGAGACAATGCCCAGATATGATGTATGTCAAAGCTGGTTACCCCGCTTCAGCTGGTTCAAAAGAGCTGTTCATCCGTTCCAGCTCACTCAAATGAGCTGGTCATCCAGCTCCAGATCAGATATTTCAACACATTTATTTCTTGATAAGATTCGGCTGTTTACTTTTGACGTTAAAGCATCATGACTGCTGTGTGTATAAATGAGCAGCTTTTGCTCGCTCTACACTTTTCGACGTAGTAATCTATTATATTCTTTTTTCGATATATAATCGTCTGTAAGTGATGCTACATAGTTCAGTGATATATATATTGCATGGGAATTTAAAATTGCTCGGAATAACAATAAACGCAAGGTCATGTCTACTGTTTTCTCAAAACTCGCAGCACACAATGCTATGACACACAGAGTCGGTGAATATTTCAGAGAGTAGTTTTAAGGACATTGATGCGGAGAGTGGATGTGGATTTGTCGGGATAGTTGTGGACATCAGCTGTGACTGCAAATGTATGCATTTTCCCTGTTGTTCACATTCACTGATCCTATTTTCATTAGAAGCAATTGGCAGAGACGCAGCTAGAAGGGGAGTCACGAGGACCTGGGTATTTCGTTTGGTAGAAAACTACCTGAAAAAGAATATGGACACACTTATTTCATACTGGACAAAGTTATATTCCTTCTGTGCACTTTGTTGATTAGTTGAGCGCTGATCTTATGAAACTCCAGTCGATCTCTTCGCCAACGTGACGGCGCGGATGTGTATTGATAGTGTCAGGGATAGGAAAAACATCCATATCCACTCATACGTCCAACTGTACTTCGACCTGTACCAACATCGAGACCCGATTCTATTTACTTAAACTACTCTCTGTAATATTCATCCGCTCCATATATCATGGCACTGTGTGCTGTGAAGTTTTCTGAGAGAAAAATAGATGTGACCTTGCGTTTATTGTTATTCAGAGCAATTTAAAATTCTCCTCTAGGAGAAATTAGAATTTAATTTTCCCTCGGAGAAACTAAAATCTTCAATTTTTGTGAAGAAATTCGGCAAAAAAACATCATTTCAATTTGTCCTAGAGGAGATATAAACTGTAATCTCATCGAGATGAATATTAAATTCCCTGTAACATATACACAAATCATTTAATCCACTTTGTCATCCAGCAATATCTGACTTCGCAACACTCTGTTTTACCACTTCCGATCGACGTAAATCAGACTGGGTGTATTGTGTGAGTGCTGGTGTCGATCACAGTGGGGTGGGTGTGCGTGTGGATGTAGGTGATGTCTTCCCGTCTCGTCGACAAAAAATTTTCTTACTTTCGGCGACAGATTTTTTTCCGTATTGTCGACAAAATATTTTTTCCTGTTTCGTCGACAACTTTTATTTTCCCGTTTTGTCGACAACTTCATGTTCCTTTGATAGACCCTAATTTAATAATTAGACATATGGTCGACTAGTTAAGGAAGAAGTAATAGAAAACAGCGAAAATTACTATAGGATCATCAAAATTCAACCTACGAATATGACTGATAGCAACATCTTTTATTTACTTTTTAAAATAACATTATACAAGAAAGATCAAATTAAATTGAAGAAAAAAGAATGATAAATTCATAAAAAAAAATATTCAGGATGAACTATCATTATTATTAACATCAAAATCAAATGAAACTTTTCCCCCAATTGTTTTGCTGATCTTTATAAAATAATCATCCAATGTCAACAAACCTTTGTCATGACGATCCATTAAATCTATTATTATTCTTCTGTTTCGAATAAGATATCTTTTTCTCTGGGGGTGTGTCTTGTTCTAGTGCTGCACCTGCTTCAGAGTTGCCATATTGAAAGCGAAATCCTTTTGTAATTCTTCGAGGACAATATACAAGTTCGGATTGGTGATACCAACATTTGTATTCAGTTGATGATGCCACCCTTCTAAACCATTATTAGTCCTAACCCCATGAAGACAATAGTAGCGACTCATTTCCACAGTGTCCCATGCTATTACTTCCTAAAAAAAGTGAATACTCATTATGTAATTGATTAACTAAGCCTTAAGCAGTCGACCGTATGTTTAATTATTAAATTGCGGGCTATCAAAGAAATACGAAATTGTCGACAAAATGGGAAAATAAAAGTTGTCGACGAAATTAAAAAAAATATTTTGTCGACGAAGTGGAAAATTTTTGTCGGCCAAACGGGACTGAACCGTATAGGTAGGCATGTAAATGTTGTGTGTATTTGACGTCTTACTTTACACACTCGCACCTTTCACCCACCTGACTCCATCCACACTCACATCCTCACACTCAAGATTTGTATTTCTCGCAAAGATTTTTCGCTAAACAATCTCTTCGCTCAAAATCCTTTGGCTATATTTTTTACCGTATTTTACATTCACGGAAAACTTTTCGTTAAAAACTTTCTCGCTAACTCGTCACCATACTATTTAATTTGTTGAAAAGTCTTAAGCTTTTAGAGAAATACAAATGATAAAATCTGATTTATTCTTGTATCATATTTAATGATTTTCTTCATCGTTCATTCTGAAAACGAAAATCAGTCGAATATTTTAAGACGTGATTTTCTATTCGATAATCAAGAAGTGTGACACTTGCGATTTCAAATCTAAAATCATTTTAAAAGACTTTTCTATTGAATAAAATAAAGATTTTCATCTTTGTTAGACTCTTTCCCGAGCAAATGATGAAAATAAATGTTCAGTTTTCATTGATGATCGTCTTGAAGGTTTTTCTTCCAATAAACGTTGGTACATAATTCGATCATCATTTTATTAGGGCGAAAGCTGATCTAGGGTTTAGTATTTGATGAAGGTGAAGTGTTTTTTGTTGTGGGTATTGTGTTTAGTTATATTTGTGTTAAGATAAAAGGATAGTATATGATGTAACTAAAAGATAGATTGGCTTAATGTTGAAGCAATATAATATTTTATTGTGTTTGCTGTAGTCGAAAATTCCAGTAGGTGAAGGTAATTGATTTATAATCCTGAACCCCTGAAAAAAATTAATTTGTATTGAAACAGGTATATATGGCTTAAATAGATTGTGGAATTATTCAAAAGTTATACGGAATCTAGAAGAAACTTTCAATAGAATTGGTGTTAGATTTTCTAATATACGTCTGATAAGTATTTCAATTAGTATTTCTATTTTAATTCTTCTGCAATGTTTGTTAAGTGATCTATTAGTCTTCACTAGAATCTTCCAGAGTATACTGGATTATCGGTTATTCATGTGAGAGGTATGAAAAGAACGATTTTTCGCGTAAATGTGAGGAAAAAGAGATCTTGGGTCATAAGATAGGTGTGGAGGAGACAACTTTTGTGCCATGTGTTACGCAGAGAAACCGGTCTGTCAAGGAGCAGAATAATCTTATATTGGTCCACCTCTGTCGCTCAGGCATGATAGCCTGTATGATATATTGAATACTTTTTCATTATTCGAGCAATCAAAGGACTTATTAAATTACTAGCCATCTTACAATTAGGTTATGTGATTTTTTTATGATATAAGACACCTACAGTTTTGAATGATGGTAAACTCAGTAATAATATAATAAGGAGCAGAAATACATTAAGCTATTATTGTAACTACAAAGCATCTGACAAAAAAGATTAATATAGAAAAGCTTTAAAAGGAAAGGATATCATTACTATATCCTTTGCTCCAAAAGTCTTTTTCCTGAAGTACGTAATTAAGCATAAAAACATCATTGTTTGAATTTTATCGATTAGGTATGTTTAGATGATGGATATCATCCGCAAGTTTTTATTCGTACGAACGAGCTTCAAAACTACTAGGCAAACGTATCCGCTGCATCTTAAAAGAGATACTTATCGGCTTGTCCACGTAACTCGGGACTTCGCTGATCAAGTTTTTAAAAAAATTATTTTAGAGTAGAACTGATAGGAGCACATCACTAGATGCAGTTTTTGACGCTGATTACCAATCTCACATTAGTTTTTGAAAAACGTTAAATTTTGGTACTAAAAATCCAGTTTTACATTTTTTGAAAACTGTATTTTCAATTTCCTCACCTAGACACTTTTCCTAATAAAAATGGAAGGCCATACTAATCGATAGAGAATTCGATTCTCTACAAGATGATATGTTTCTTTTGAAGTTTAGACTCAGAACAAGCTTTTTAATAAAGTTTTAAGTTTTAAGATTTTCACACAATTCTAAGAAAGTGAAAACATTTTTTCAGCTTTATTTTCACCTTAGTCTATATTAGATGTCTAAAGCTAAGTCTGATGTGAAAATGAAACCCTTTGAGCAATGTTTAGTGCTCCAAACTTTGTTGGGAAAAACGAGTGTCACAGCGTCACGACGATAAAACACAATTATTGAGGGATGGAAAGCTCTTTGGAAAGATTCTTTTTTAACAATTAGTAGCTCGTTTACTCCTCTACAAACTTTGCTCGAGACGCTTTTTATTAGCTATTCTAAATTCGCAGCAAATTAGCTTTTAACGAGAAGCAGTTCGAATTTAGGGGCTTTTTTTGTCACAGCGTCACGCGCCGAAAAACGCTTCTAAAAGTTTGAGTCCTTAACCACATACCTTCGTTTTTATACCGAAAGTAGAGTATGGCGAGCTGCGTCGAACGGCGCAAGAACGACGGTTCTAACTTATACACTTTTTGAGGAAAGCTCAAATTACTGTGTCAAAAATGTCACAGCGTCACGCTTGGACAAGCCCTTATTCGCAGCATTTGATTAAAAAGGTAACGCGAAAAAATGAATCATGATCGCGCCTCTGTTCACATTCGAAGCCCTAGCAACTTGTTATTTTTATTAGCTAACTAATACATTTGATTAGCTGAAAGAAATATAAAATAGTGCTTAGATTTAAATAACTAGATAGAAAGAAGATATATCATCGTTTTTATTCGTTGCTCAAATAATAACTCTCAGGTATTTAATTATTTCGGTAGCTGAGTGATCCGATTGGATAGCTAGGAGAATGATTGGATAGCGGTGACAATCTTTAAATAGTGCATGGTTTAAGTAGTTAGATAAAAAAGAGAAGAATTCACCAAATTCAATATTTTTCTTGAAGAATAGCTGATAGCTGTTTATTCTTTGCGTAGCTGAATAAATCGATAATCACCTCTGTCTAAATTACAAAAGTACAGACTTTTCCATCCTCTGAAAACTAACATGTTGAATTTCTTTCTGAGTACCTGCAATTTTCCTTTTCGTTTCTTGCGATTTTTAAATGCTCTAGCTCTTGCGACATGGATTTGTGAGCATTTATTGGAACATGTCGCCACACAAAAACGCCTAATTATATTGAATCTAGTATTTATGAGATCCATGAATTCGTTCTATCTTATCATTTGATGACTTGTCAATTCTAAGATATGGGTTCACCTCATGAAATACATAATCATTAGGCTTATTACTATTAGCTTCTTTTTATTGTAATTTATGGAAAGTGTTCATAGAACGATAACACAAGATGTGGATGATTTAAAATTCACAAACAGGACGAAACTAAAGTCGTTTAGAAAGAAATCCTGTGTAGTCATTCTAAAAGATCGAAAACTGAGAATATTTACGTTCGGATCAAAAATAATATACCTGAACAGTACTTTTGGGTTTATTTATATAAGTAAAAACTTAACAATAATACTTACTATAGGGAAAAAGTTAGTCAATAAAGTTCAATCGATCGTGCAGTTATATTGAATTACTTTAATGAAGACACTTCTGAGACACAGTATGTTGTACTTTTAACAGATATGATCAGCAGTAAAAGATTCTTTTACCGGTCAGAAAATAGATTGTAAGGAATTAATCAGTTTACAGTGAATTTGTTTCATTTTGGAAGTCACATCTTTATATTCATACATATTTGGATAATTCTGACAATAATAAAGAAGCCATTTTTAAGTTAATAAATATATTTTCTTAAGATTATCTTAATTTTCTGGGCAAGACGTAATGAAAAAGAGTGTTTGAACTGATACAATTAATTTAATATCTGTTTTATTAATTGTTTCACTCGTCTAGAGAACACGGACAGATTGTTGTATACAAAAAGAAATGAATACAGAGAAAGAGTGAAAATGATTATGACAAGGTGTGATCGTACGACTTAAAGAGCGAGGGAGAGGAATCGTTCACTACACATAAATTGGAGGAGACGGGGAAGAATCAGTAATGATTGTTGATAAGCCAGTGTTTTTTATACCGATCTTTGGATAAAAGGTGCCTGACAACGATAAACAAATACCGAAACAAAACAGAGATCCTTTACAACAATCACAGTACTAATTGGTGTTGTTTTTAGTGGATTAAGTGGTTGTCCTATTCATGAATGAATGCGAAACAAGGTATAGAGAAGGTTTGTATGTCATAAAGAACACAATCGCTTTTTGTAACAACTTCTATCATTTGCCTCTATCATCAATACACGGATTGTGTTTTTCTTCACATTTTCGTTATCCTTATTTTTATTCGTATTGTCATCGAAAGGAATATCTGCTTACAAGATACGTAACATCATGCAAAAGGCAGCTATATATCCGATGAACGCGACCGAAATATTTGATGAGAATATTTGCACGTTAATTGATAATATTTATTCTAGTAATCAAATGCCGTATGAATACCTTATTAGTACGATGCTCCCTGCCATTGGCCACTATGGCAGCCAAATTCAAACTAATACAGGTACATTAACGAAGATCTCTTTTTTTACAGCTATTATTGGATATCCAAGTGTCAATAAGTCAAGCGCAACAGAAACAATTTTAATGCATGTCTCATTATCGAAAAACGCCTAGGTATCAAACCAGAAGAGAGCCGAATTAACTGCGATGCGACCATCGACTTTCTTTTGATCGAACTTGAAAATAGATGTCCTAGACTCATCCGGATTTGGGATGAAGCTGTTACTCTTTTACAATCGTTCGGTCTCTACAAACAATGGTGCAACGTACGATCGTTCGATTATGTGTACGTTATACAGTTCATCTACTTTCATCAAGCGACAAACAAAATCAGGAAATATTACGGAAGAAAATCCTGTATTAAATATTGGTGCGGCAGTTCATCCTATTGACATCCTCTCCGCTGCATCGAACGAGTCCAACGATGATGGTCTCATGGCTTGTCTTCTTTTCTCTGCTCCCCAACCATCTATTCCCTTATCGAATGTGATCAGGTCCCTTAACATCGACGAACTAAGTCTCATCCACATGCTGTACATTATATACTGTTTCAACATCACAGAACAGAATGATTTACGACGCACTGATGAGGACGATCAACGAACAATATACTCCTATTCAGAAGATGCTCAAAAGGTGCGCTAATTTTTCTCTCATAATAATTGTTTTAATATCTCATGAGAACATACTCTCGCATTCTTAGATAAAAATGAAGAACTTCAATTGTTGAATGCGGCTGTTTACATTTTGAATTACAGCAGAAAATGAACAATACGTCTATACATAACATTGTTTGGGAACAGATGATTGTTTTCCTCCCTCAGCTATATTCTTCAACTCTATTTTTATAGGTCATCAGTGATACTTTTGATGAATATACCCTTCAAATCCTTGAAGTGTATGGAATTGATCAAGGCTTATGATCCATCCTAGGCAAAACAAAGGTACAGGTAAGTAGATTGGCAGATGCATTCCATGCCATCTTCCTTGCTGCTGCTGTTTTTGATCAACTTATCAATAATGATTCATTACCTGGATATTATGATAAGAGCAAGCCAGTCTTTGATCCACTCAAAAGAGTAGTGAGAGACTTCAAAGAAACACTTAAATGGACGGTGGCTTGCGAAGTACGGCAAAGGCTGCTGCATCGTTAATGAACTATATCGTAACTCAAAAGAATATATATACTAATCGTAAGTTCCCTTGAATCTGAAGTTCTTCCATAGATGACGCATAGTTCCCGATTTTTACAAATAATCTAGAGAAATGTACGAACTCTATCATCTTATTCCTCTTGTAGCTATGATAAACACTTATGATCAGATCACAGAATATATACGTATATAGGTGTTGATTGTTTTTTTTTTCTCTTCTTCGCCTGCTCTTTTCTTAACTTTTCTTCTCTTTTCTTTTCTTCTCTTATTTCTTATTGTCCTCTGTTTCATTTACAGTCCACTGCCAGTCTCTCGTCAGCTTGTTTACCCAGATAAATTAATGATTCACGTCTAATGTCGACACTGCAGATAAATGTATATTAGTGTTCTTTCTCTCTTATTCAGAAATGAAGTAGAATTTTAAAAAAAATTATTTACTTGAACCTTCTAAAATATGCTCGAAGGTGTAATTCTTCTTAACAACTGAAAAATGATCCATACTGGAAAAATGCATCCACAATTTGTTCATAAAAATAATCATCTTTACTCTTTTTTGCCTTCATTTGTACATGTGCTATACTATACTCGCTGACATTTCTTTTCATTTCATTTTTCGAGGTCCTGTAGGCGAAACTTTGGATGAAATGCGACAGCGACTTCTACAAAAGAGGAATGATCAAGAACTCATTGAACAAAATCAAGAAAGTATGGCAGAGGCTCGACGATCGAAACTTGTAATGCGTTCAGAAGATGGTGGTGGTCAACGCTATCCGGAAAAGGTTATTCTACTTGCAAAAGGTATAAAAATACCATGTATCAATATAAGCCTTAAGCATGGAGCATTCAACGCAGCTACACTTCATCAAGCTGCAACAAATTTGCACAAAGAAAATTTTGGTGCGTTTAATTTTTTTATTCTAATACTTGGCTATGAAACTTGAAAGTGACGACGTTGTTCTATCCTTGAGAACAATTCGAACAAACGATACAACTATACCTTCTTTTGAAGAAAAGATTAACACTATAAAATATATCGAACGAAAAGGAAAATAGAGCAATGAAGAAACTGATAGTCGATTATGAAAAGAAGGGATAAGAAGAGAGCAGATGACCGTAAAGAAGCAAGAAAACAGTGGACGAATGAAAAAAAAAAACACAAAACGACATCAAAAGAAAAGAGACTATCGATTAACAATAACATTTTTGATGACTCCTTGAGCTGATTTTATTAAGCAAACCATGAAATAATTTATTTATTCTCTATATAGGAGTGTTGACAAAAGAAAAAGTAAGTGGTGCTCACAGAGCAACAACGTACTTTTAATCGATCCAAATTAGGACGTAGCAAAGTTGACGGCTTTTAGCAATCAGTTAGCTAAACATAACGTATCTTTCAAGGCATATCAAGCATCATTTAAATATGGACCAGTTGATTCGACTGAAATAGAAGAAGACGAGAGCATGGGCGCATCTCCTAAGCGTGAAGACAATTGCATTCCATCACTTCCACCCGCCGTTCCACCACATGTACCTACTTCACCGAGCTGTTCTTCAATAACTGCTCTTGTATCCAATTCAATCATTGGACTTCGACCACAATTACCAATAGTTTTATCATCACAGCAACGCAAACAATCGCAAAGAAAAGATTCAAATGTGATAGTGCGCATAACGACAATGCAAAAGGCAGTAACTCAAACAACTTTACAAAAACAGAACAAAAATCGTATCGAACTCATTGACAAAACAATATTACCTTTCACTTCACCTAGAAGAGAGATTCCAACATTGCAACAAGATGCATATCTCGACAGCTGATTATCTTTAGCATATCAAAATAATATTTCAATCCACTGATGATAAAATAAAGAAACTAGTGTCTTAACAATAGCGTGCATGAAAAATCAATTGATTCAAATACTGAGCACCTCCAAAAGTGACACCGGAACGTCTAAAATTAGTTAAAAAGTCAAAACTGAGCACCTGAAACTTGAAAGGATCGGCATTGTTCTATCGTTTAGAAAGTTCGAACAAACGATGCAACTATATCGTCTTTCGAAGAAAAGATTAAGGCCCCCCACTCAAAAACCGATCTCAGCCCCGCCTCCTACAAATCGCATGAAATTTTTAGGATATGTTGGGGCTATGATGGACCCGACTATTCCCGCTGGAAATATGAATATGTTGTGTAGAAACACCGAGTATTTTGACAGGAAGCATGAAGTTCTTGTGAAGAAACACCAAGTATGCCAGCAGAAAATACGAAGTTCTTGTAAAGGAACGGCGAGTATTCTAGCACGAAATATGAAATTGTTGTGAACAAACGCCGAGTGTTCCAGCGGCAAATATGAAGTTCCTGTGTAAAAAAGCTCAGGATGAACTTCATACCGCCTCCTCGAATACTCGGCGTTTCTTTACGACAAGTTCATATTTTCTGCTAGAATGCGCGGCATTTCTACACAAGAACTTCATACTTCCTGCAGGAATACTCGGTGTTTCTTCACAAGAACTTCATACTTCGTGCTGGAATACTCGGCGTTTCTCCAGAAGAATTTCATATTTCCACCCGAAACACTCGGTGTTTCTTCACAAAAACTTCATACTTCCCGCTCTAACGCTCGGCATTTCTACACAAGAACTTCATATTTGCCGCTGGAATGCTCGGCATTTCTTCACAACAATTTCATATTTCCCGCCAGAATACTCGCCGTTCCTTTACCAGAACGTATTTTCTGCTTGAATACTAGGCGGTTCTTCACAAGAACTTCGTATTTCCAGCTGGCATAATCAGTGAGTCTTCACCCTAACTTGAATATTGACGTGATTTTCTTACTTGAGGAGAGTGTTTATGGCGAAATTGATTATGCACATTGGACAGGTTTGTGACTATGTTAAATCCGATAAAGAAAACAATGAATTATGTTTTACCGACATGCAACAAACTGAATAACTAAATAAGAGAATAATAATAAGTCCTTGAATTCTAATTCCAAATATTTTTTTAACACAGGATAAGTTGTTGTTCCTGCGTATTCACAGGAACTTCATATTTTCTCCCGGAAAACTCGGTGTTTCTTCACAAGAACTTCATATTTCGTGCTGGAATACTCGGCGTTTCTTTACAAGCACTTCATACTTCCTGCCCGAATACTCCGCGTTCCTTCGCAAAAAAAAAAAAGTTATTGTGGATTGGAAATATTGCAACACACGGATCCACGCGCTTTTCTCGATTTTATTCATCTTATATTGGTTAAATATCTGAATATACTCCAACTAGACGACAAAGATCTTACAATGTGTTCTAACGAACTTGATAAGTTTCTCCAGACAGTAGATGGCTATGTGACAGATTTCTCTGGCTGGAATTATGTGTTCACAGACAATAAGAAATATGCGCATGAAACATTCGATTTATTTTTCAACCTACTAAGTTCAACATCAATTTTGAATGATTTACAAAATCAAGAAATTGATAAACCAAAACGAAACGCGTATCCTATAATATTTTCTATCGTTCAAACCGTGTGCAGGAGTTTAATGAGTTTTACCGTGTTTACAGATAGTGATTTTGATTCTTATATACCGCTCCTTGAAGCATGTATCACATATATCAGTCGTGATTTTGAATCGTTGGACACAACCATGAACGATCAACTTCAGTCATTGACTAGCAACGATGATCCAGATCACTCTCTTCCGTCCGGGCTTCAAGACATATTGACGCTTCCACTAAATGCATTGATAACCAATACTATATTAGTTTTAATTAATACCTTGGCCGATAAAACCGTTCTTGTTCCACTTTTTGTTAAGACGGGATATCCAAAAGCTGTGTTGAATTGGATTACACTTTCATATTTGTCTGAGTCTTCACAAGATTCGATTATGTACATAATTAATAATATAGCACGCATGATATTGGTGCCGATACTCTAAATATGAATGATGCACTATCAGCGTTACAAACATTTAAAGAAAATATTCTAGACAAGCGAAGAGATTCTCAAATCGAAAGTCAAGGTCTGGACACAAGTTTAGTGTATTCTATGACAGTTGCACTTTTATCTGATCCAGAACAAATTAAAAAAGGTTTTAGAACAATGAACACAACACTTGATCAATTGCTACGAATGGTGATTGAAACAGCTATAATCGAAGAATATTGCGGTTATCATTTATCGGAACCACTTGTTGTATTAACAAAATTATTTATGAATGATGATGTTGTTGATTATGTACTTAAGCATGCACAAGTTGAAAAAGACGACAACAAAAATAAATCGAATCTACAAATATTTTGCGATACGTTAATATTCCACACAGACATGCTAAATAACGAGAAACACGACAGCGCCAGTTCCAATGACAGTGGCAGCGAAACTAAAAATGAAGACGAAAATGAAAAGAATCCTATGTTGAAACAGTTAATAAGAATTGCCTTATGTAATCTGTTGTGGAGTGTTTCATTTCATAATCAGTATAAGAACGAAATGAGAGAAAATGATGGATTTATGAATACTGTTAAATATTTAGCTGCAAATGGGGAAGTTTCACTTCAACAATTCGTACCAAAACATCTGTCAAGTATAAAGAAAGCAGCTGATGGCATATTGTGGAACTTAAACGAATCAATCCCAGGTGCAAAACCAAAAAGCTTTCAAAAAAGTACTCCGGAAAACACAGCAACAACGAATATCAGCAAGACACCATTGGTAATGATCAGCTATTCGCATGAGGACGATACCTTTTGTAGAAATCTCGACCATGCATTAATAGAAAATGCTCAACTTGATGCATGGACTGATTATAAGGATAATGATGTTCAATTACAAAAAGACGTTTCACATACAGATAATTTATGGGAAAATATCGCAAATGTAATGGAAGCATCGGATATCATTCTTTTATTAATAACAAAAGATTACTTTAATAGTAATTCATGCCGACAAGAAGCTGAATATCCTAAATATCCATTGAAAAAGCGTATTATCCCAATCTATTTAACAAACGACTACGAAGCACGAGGATGGCTTGGAATTATGATTGCTGGACAAAAACATATTCGATTCGGTAGAAAAACGTTTGATTCAACGATAATAGAATTGATTAAACGAATTACGGATTGTGTACCAGCGAAAACAACGATACAAAATCGAGCAGAAAGCGCTCGAGTGTTGCCTCAATTAGTAGTAGAAAATATAGCGAGAACAAAACCGAACAGTAAGGAATAAAAGAAAAATTACTTCTAATATGTTTACTAGCCAACAAATGATGCGAACAAGTTCGGCTTGAAAGTGATGGAAGCAAAAATAAAGTGCGACGTCAAAGGGCTAACGCATTCCTTTTCTTGATAAAAGACGAGCTTTCCTTGTTCCAAATATAGTTAAAACGGCTTTGGACTTTGATAAAAATTCATCAAAGACTGTTGCATAGTGTGTCCCACTCAATCTGTTGGGATTCGTGTTGTTTGTAATATGCTTTGATAATATCAACTTTGCACCACAGTCAATGCGAATACCAGCGGATGCTCCTGTAATGAATGCCATACCGATAGTAGAAATCGGAGTTTCAATAGCATCTACATGATACTTTGTTCCACCTGACGGCAATATTGAAACTTTTATTTCTTTTATCCTTCAAGTTCTCTTAGCGTGAGCATAAGGTCTTTCTAGGGTTTGCTTGCCTATATTCAGAATATTTGTAGTGCTACAGTCTTCCAATGACACTTTGGCCATCAGGACTACATGTGCCTCCAGACAACAACAGCCACGAAAATCAGTCGATCACTGGACATTAGAAGACATTAATCACTGGTTTAGTCTGAATCATATTCAACCAGAATTACGTTCATTATTTACACTTCCGACTGGAACGGCCATGGTCCGTTATGCTGATTACTTAAAATGCAATGATAAGAAAGAATATGAAGCAAAATGTACAAAATTCGAAGATAAATATCATAAAAAATTAGATGCTGATCAGTTTTTTATCTTTGAAGATGCCTTGTGTCAGCTAAGTGATGAATATGGAAAGATGAGACAACCGTCAGGACAGGAACTAACACCTCCAGATCATCCACAACCGTCACAACAACGTCAACAGCCAAATCTGAGAACTTCACGATTCTGTATAATCATATAGAACTTGATTGAAATCATACGCCGCTAAAGCACGCAACAGACGATATGTGGTTTACGGACACCTTGTACCTTATTTAAACAACATTCACTGCATATTTTTTGAAATCTTATTATGAAAAATAATATAGTTGTTCCCGATTTCTTATGCCTCATGTACAGTATTCATATTACAAAATCAGAAATACATGAAATTGAATAAAACCTTCTGAGATTTTTTTTAAAGTTATAAAATTACGCTCTCAAGAAATACATTTTATGCCCCTATTCTACAGCGTTTCACTGTTTGTAAGGATAGATATAATAGAATTCCAAAGCTCAAAATACAACCAATTAAATCCAATAAACAGCTGTATAATTAAAATTACAAATAAAATTGAATAAAGGTTTTTATGAGAATAAGTTGTTGATTGTGATCGATCTGAATATTGTACACTTGCTATATCGTCTGTCGCAAGTGTACGCAACTATGACTATGTGTATCGTACTATCTATATATCTATACGTATCTATATATCTATGTAGTTTAGCAGTAAGCTATGTACAGGTAAAATAAAAATACGGAGATGAATAAGTAACTAAATCGGCAAATAGCAAATAAATGATTCAACCATTCTGTCCTAATTATTAGGTCATTAATACGCCAAATCAAATGCGTGAATATCACTAGTGACTCATTTAACGTAATGATATTTATATAGACGATTACATATAAGAAATGTTTTCTTTTGCGAGCTTTCGCTCTCTCCGAGAGCATCAGCAGGCAATTTTTTATTCAAATTTCGTTATTATTTACATTAACTATAAGGCCTCATTCATAAATTATGAGTTAACCTTTCATTCTAGTGCTTCCTTTTAGCCAATACAATATTGTTCCTTCACTGTCATTATATTACTGTTTTCAATGAGATCTCATTGAAAGCCCAATGTTGAAATTTGGTCGTTAGTAATGTCTCTTTAATTTCATGTTTTTTTCCATTTATTTCAAATGATATTGTTGATGGTTCATTAAAATTCAATGAATGATTTAGAGTTCTCATATGCTGTATCGCTTTTGAACTGACATCAATTTTTTTCCAGTTCTCCTTATGTTGTTCCATTCTAACATTTATATTCTTTCCTGTTTGTCCAAGTATAGTTCATGGCAATCATTACATTCAGTATAGTATACCACACCAACTTCCTATTTGTTAATTCCTTTCAGTTGTTTTGTAAAATGGTGTCCGATTGTTTGTTTGTTTTTAAAAATAATCCGACATTCAATTTTGATATTTTTCATTAATTTCTTAAATTTTTTTCACCCTCGTAAGTTTTATAAAAAACGTTGGGGGCCTTCCCGGAAGGCCCCCAACGGTCCAGTCTCTTTTGAGACGAAACCTAGTGGATTATAGATTATCAACTATGCTGATTTCGAATATGACTATGGCAGCTGCCCATAGGTCTCCGGAGATCCTGCTTTCAGAAAACCAGTTTTTCGGAAACTCTAAAAAATAACCAAAACCTATCTTAATAAGGCATAATTGTAACCTGCACATTTCTAATTAAAATGAGACATCTCCCAGCTCCACACGACCTTTCTTTGCAAAGTTATAGAGTTTACAAGAAAAGCCCTAAATTCATTTTTCGTTTTTCTTCTGTTCCGAGGTGACAATGAACATTTAGGGCTTTTCTTGTAAGATCTATAACTTTGCAAAGAAAGGTCGTGTGGAGCTGGGAGATGTCTCATTTTAATTAGAAATGTGCAGGTTACAATTATGCCTTATTAAGATAGGTTTTGGTTATTTTTTAGAGTTTCCGAAAAACTGGTTTTCTGAAAGCAGGATCTCCGGAGACCTATGGGCAGCTGCCATAGTCATATTCGAAATCAGCATAGTTGATAATCTATAATCCACTAGGTTTCGTCTCAAAAGCGATTGGACAGTTGGGGGCCTTCCCTCGTTAGTATATTTAATATAATTGAAAAACATTTTTGTAAAAACATTTTACATACAAGTATCGTTCATCTTCGATTCACTGACCCTTGACTGAAAATGGATTTTTAGCGATGATTTGGTGTTAGTACGCGCTTAGCTTTTTAAAGGGATGGAGAAACACGAAATTTTTGTTTATTTATGTGTATGACTGCATTAGATCCAATGACATATGACGTGTTGAAGGACATATTTCCTAGGATTTG